AATTGGAAGGCGTTGTCGAATTGGAGGCTCGAAGCCGCCCAAAGGGAGTCGAGCGATGTTATAAATGCCATAGTGATCGGCACTAGCTGTCAGCGTGACCTGACAATGAGAAACAAAAGCAAAAGTGGTCAATGAAAGACCGATGATGCTATTTATTGTTGACGCTGAGGCTATTTTTGAACCCCTGAAACGCGTGGATTCCCGTCATCGCCTGAGGCATCCTTAAACTATGCCTGTTTGGGTCGGGATGACCCACCGCTTTCTTTGCTGGGTTTGTTTGCTTTCTTTGACTCACACCTCTCCCTCTTGTTCATTCTTTCATTTGGCCTGGTCATCTTCATGTTCATTGATGGTACTTGTCGAGAATCCCTCTTGCGGAGGGAGGGAAGTACAGATCCGTAATTGGCATATACGAGTGGCTGTGGTCTTGACTGGATCCGGACAATGAAAGGAAGGAACCATGCGCTAACGCTAGATAGACTCCGCATGCACCAGCGGTTGGTGATCTGCCCATGGATGTTGTTCCCTTCCTGATGGCATGGACAGTCCGTCACGGAGCCGATGCTCTCGGATCCGACCAGAAGGTTCATCAAGATCATCTAGATATGGAGTTCAATGCTATACAGCCATCTTGATTGCTGCTCACAGAATCCCGCGATTATAATCCTGTGCATGAATGTTCGATTTGACCAACTTGACCCCAATGCAATGATCCGGGGTATAGCGACTCCGCTCTTTGTTGCTCCTGGGGCAAACTGAAAGGAACCACACCCTATGTCAGCCAACCACCTGTCGCTGGCTACAAATCTAGAGCATTGAATCGCCGGGGAGCTATCACTTCCTGACGCTGTGATTTGCACTTGGCCCAAACTCTATTCCCTCGTACCCTCGCTCTGCAATGATAATCCCTGCTGTCATACTCTGTGCTGCGCCTCGTAGTGATCTTGCCTGTTGATTGCATTTCCGATGCGCTCTCTACACGAGATCGCTATCGTGCCCTGCCCAAGTACCGGGGTTTCTGATGGTACACTAGAACTTCGCGCCAACCCCAATGTCGGAGGCAGTCACATGAAGCTCTCTAGTTGCGCCATCCCCCCTTCTGAATTTATCTCGTGGCTTTCTCGCCTAGCTGTATGTTTATAAGGTACGTATGCCGAGCTATCGATCTGAGACACTGGCTGCGTGCTGCGCCCTTCGTCTCCACCGGCCTCTGTCTTTGACACTAGTGTTTTGCATTTGCTGCCTACTCGTGTGTCACTTGTCAACTGACAATTCCGGTAACATCCTATTCTTTCCGGCTCGTTTATCCTTAAGACTAGTAAGGCATCATAGCTTACCTACATTGATAAGGAAAGACCAGAAATGGCTTCTAATTCCGAAGCTGCGGATATTCCGGAACTTACCAAACTGGCACGCGACCTATATCTTACATGCAATTCTATCTCTGGAGATGCCCCTGACGGCTTCAACCAGCTTGTGGCTAGTCTGGCATCCCTGCATAGCGTGTTTCAAACCTTGAGGGATGATGTCAGCACCAGGAAGTTCGAGCTCGCGGAGTCAGATGACGAATGCAGGCATACTCTATATCGGTGCCTACATTCTTGCTCAGGGACCTTACAGCAGCTGAAGGAGGTGGTCGACATGTATCGAAATACAGGTTTTGAAAACGGAAGGCAGCTATGGCAGTCCATAGATTGGATGACACAGCAAGCATTTATTGACGATCTCAAGTCCAAGATTGTGGCTCATACATGCTATTTAGGCGTATGTGTCGGCTCTCTTACCAAGTGAGCTCTCCAAATTTAGTCAGATATGATCATTTCTCATTCTTCAGACCGTCTTTAGGAAGAACTGAAAGTTCGGCGACAAAAGATTCGGCAAAAGACTTACCTCCACCAACTCCTTCATCTTGGCAGGCACATGACGACGTCTCGCCTATATCAATGTCAGTATCGACGCCTCGCCAGCAGAACGTCTTTATACTAGCAGAGCTGGATGGCACGGAACCCACCAGGCCAAATCCTGCCGCTACACAACCCTCTTGTCCGCCAGAAGAGCCCTCTCATGTTTCAGCTTCCTCCGAATCCGTTGTTTCGGGACACTCGGACACGTCTAGCTTCACAGCGACTACGTACACTTCACCTACTACTCCAGCTTCATCAACTTTTAGCCCTCCACAATCAATTGTTTCAGAGGCCTTTTCGACAGAGAAAGAAGTGGTTTGGGCTCGTGGACCAGGATTTGGATTCTCAAATATGCAGAATCAAGGGCGAATTCAACGGTCAACCTCAATAAAACCAGGCGAGTCAACGCCGTGGGGTAGCCCTGGCCATTCAGGAGCTGATGCAATACAAGAACTCCACCGACGGCAACTGCGAGAGCAGATCTTCCGATCGCTGCGATGTGAACAACGCGATAAAACCCATCAGCCTGATGCAGAACTCCTCGCAAATTTTGATCATATAGCCCACAAGGAAGAGCGAGCTCAGCAACTCACTGCGAGATGCTGGCTGTTGGTTGCTGTATGGTGGCTTCTGAAGGTATACATACGCATTAAGCCTTTCTCTCGTGACAGATGCTTATGTTTGGAAAGGCCAGGACAGCCCTTGCAAATAGCGAAAGATCAACACTTGCAAGCACCAGAGGCAGCGTGAGCCCGTCTGCACTGTCATGTAACTCAAGTCACCAGCCATATGTGGATCTTCTGAAAGCGTCATATATCCTATATGACATAGTCTTGAATTGTGACAACCCACAGCTGCTCTTGGAGGATGAAATCAGAAAAATGATCTCAGATCTGTCAGACGTAAGCTCTTCAACGAATACCTTACTTTGTTCAGGCTAAGCCATTCAAAGGGTCTCAAAGAAGACTTTGGGCAATTTAGCGCTGTTGATATCCCTGACTACGCTGCCATCCACTCGCAAAACCTCGACTTCTGGGAACCTTTACAGCCTGAAGAGATGATTGGGAAGGATGGCCAACCAGCTAAACCAGGAAACTTCTGCTATATCACGGTAGAATTGGAAGATGCTGGTAAAGAGGATGAGCAAGTTCTTTTCCGGACTTTTGTGAATGCAGGCATTGGGACTAAGAAGCTCCGTATGCGATCCAGAGAAGCTCCATACATGCTGCTTCTGTCCACTAAGTATGGTGAAAGCGAGCCCAAAATCACCCTCTGCAACCAGTACGGCACATTCTGCCTACAGCGAGACTGTAAGTGTGCCTACACGTCTAGTCAAAGTGGCTAAAAATGACGAAGCTAAAACATTATCAGTGGCACCAGGGGATCTGGCTCAGTTAATTCAGGTATCAAATGCGTCACTCACCAATCTATCCGTGCCAAGGCCAACAGAACCCGTGACACTGAAGTTCGGCACAATGAGTTTGTCGGTTTCGTTTCAATACATGTCAGATATCATGCAAGTGATCAGTATGCCTAAAGCATACTTTGATGCTGTCCAAATACGGGAGCCGCTTGATTCTGACCAATTCACTGAGACAGTCATTTTCAAAAGTCCAGCCGAATCAGTTGAGCAATTGAGAATGCCTAGCCTGGTATCGACTAGCCCACCTACAGTGCACAGATCCTGCGAAGTGCGCATCTTGCAAAGGTCTTTTGGCGAGGCATGGCGCTCTATCCGACGCATGGTCATCAGCTCTTCAGCCGCTGACAAGCCTGGACAGACTACCGAATTCTTCATGCCTATGAGCCATGTACAAGTCAGTCGTACGACGGCTTCAGGCTTCATTTTGCTGAAGTGGTCAGATACTGGTCAGGAGAGATCCAGCAAAACAGATGGGAACTACCATCCACTGTTCACTTACATCTACGACAGTAGCAATCCAAACATAGGTCTTGGCATCCAATTCCGCTTACAAGAGGCAGTGGATGGACTGGAAAAGGTTGTTCTGGGTTTAAGCACAAAGCCTGCATTCACCTGGTCTCAGGCCAAAAGCTCAGGCCATGTATATGAGGTCGCTGACATTGCGCCGGACGAGAAACGCTACAAGGCGGTGATGGTATGTCGAACTCGCGCGGATTGGAAGCAGTGCAGTCTACATTACCTCTTTAGGGATATGGACTATCTGTATGACCATTCTAATCTCCGTGTGAGGTTTCCCCGTGCATTATCCGCCACTTATATATCATCACACGTTGACCAGTTGTACCGGGCTGATCACCGAGTGTTTTTCTCTCACTGCGAAAAAGAGCTGAGGGATACGACAGTGGAGTTCAATGAAGAGAGCGTACTGATGGCGTTCATGTCCTCGCTTGCATCAACATACAAGCTGGTCTTCTCCAGAAGAGCCACATCCCTCATGACCAAAGACAAACTACTAATTCTCGGTCCTAAAAAGTCGGTTAAAGGAGACTCGCAAGTGCAGCTATGGCGCGACGGAAATACCATTCGTCTTGCTTCGCGTTGGGGCGACCATATAATGGACAGGTGGCTCACAATGACCATACCGACATCAGAACCATCCAGAGCAGGAAATCAAGTCAGCTTCTCCCCAAGCAGCTACTCACGGGGGATGGTCCTCAACATGACAAAGATTGCATCAGGGGCAGCCAAAAATTTAAATAGGGAGCACAAGACGGGGCCAATTACCATCACCTTTCCCAATCTAAAAGGTATGTCTTCCTTTTCTTAGAGAAACGACGAGGCTGAGATAATTCAGACCGGGAAGAATTTGTTGCGGTCATAACGGACAACCACCTGAAGTAGACAACAAAGCTTACAGGATCAAGTTAAGGCGTTGTATCTGTTGCGATAATTGCGTGGGACCGATAATCCAAGATCAACAGTTATAGCAAAAGGAGCATGTGCTGTGCGGGCCACGTCCCCACCAGGAGGACGAGGATAACCATGGATCTCACAAACCCAATTTGGACACAATATACCAGGCAACCCAAACAATAAAAACATACAGTATATAGTACGAGAGGCAGCATTTAGCAACCAAGATAATTGAACGAACTAAAAAGGATAAAAAAGAGTAGTCACGCCCGGGATCGAACCGGGAACCTTCTCGGCGCCTCAGTAGAGGAGAAACTCACTTGATGTGAACGAGAAATCATAACCATTAGACCACGTGACTGGGTGATGGGAAAATCGACCGGATTTTGGCTTACGAAGTAGCCAACTTCACCCCACGTTTATCACGATCTGGGAACTACACTGATGTTCATATTCCACAAACTGTCATGGCAGAGCATGGGAGCCGTGTTGAACAAACAGGGAACGATAACTGCAAATACTCTTCATATATAAATTATGGAGGGGTTGCCATGCACTGGCCATATCTGATCGCGGCGCTACCAACCAAGAGTGTAATGGAATGTTCGACTGTTACACCTCACATCCATACACCGTCTAGCCGCTAGCCAGAAGGATATCCTAGGTACATATAAATCTGGATATATAAGAGTATCCAGACTATCTGTTAGCTAGTCAGTATGTATTGAACAACCTATCAGATGACAACAAACAAGAAAAACCGGGGAGAAGCCAGGTCTGTGCTGCAATGCAACAGCAACATGCAACATCTCCATCTCCGCCTCCAAACAATATGCGCTGATCGCTTCTCGTGCCGGAGAAGAGAAACAAAGATATCAGCACTCGCGAGCTTGTGATAAGAGCAACAGACTGTAGATCACTCGTCCGTGTTTGGTGAATAGGATACATCGTCCATGTAGTTAGTCACTTTTTATTGTACCCCGCTTTGATCATGCCGCTCATCTGGAGATCCGCACGAACACCATATTCTACATTCAGAACCTGCAGAACCCGCCCAGCGGGTAACTGTATAATTCTCCTGACGGAACCGGGCAGAATATCTGTAGGCGCTTGATTTCAAAGCTAATTTTTGATTATAATTATTAACTAGCATCCTTCCCGCCGCGCAAGCCAGTCGCTGACTATCATTTCATTTGTCATAGCTAACTATTGCTCATCCTCCGTGACTCAATTCAAGGCGCGTCTATCCGGTTCCTTCTAGCGGATGACCTGTGAAGGATGGCTCAAATCATGTATTCTTCAGCGGGACCCCCCAGATCGTCTCAGTCAGTTAGTCGCCCGGGTGATCTCTCCCCAGTGTTCTTGTCGCCGACGCGTGCGCCTTGCACGTGCGAGCCTCATGACCCACGGGCAAAGGCTGAGCTCTTATAACGCGAGGCTTGTTACCAACTGCCCCCCAGGGCGTTTGTTGAGATGTGTCCTGTTTTCCTCACCATGATTAGTGCTTGCCCTGTTGGCAAGCCTTGGGATCATTCTCGTCGAGGAGGAACTGACTGAAATACTGGGTATTTTGTTGTTGCCTGGGTTGCTCCTGTTTTCTGTTTAGGTATCGATCTATCCATTGGTATTTATAGTCTGTCCTTGTCCGTTGCTATCCGGTTCCTAACAGATTCATCTACTCTATAGTTATAGTTCTAGTTGCTCTTACTTTGTGTTGATATGCCACACTTAGTTCACCATCGACGACGCCACTCCTGGCCATATTGCGGCCCTGGGACGCAGCTACGTGAACGGCGAAACTTGCCGCTCATCATCGCTGAGCAGCAACGCCAATTCGAACAGCAGTTCTTGACACCCGTGGGATCTGAGGATTTGCTCGAGGATGATGCCGCATCGGCGGGTATCGTTCGTTCCAGAACTGCCCGAACCCATCGACGTTGGTACGCTCCGTGGGATTCAGCTTCGCCTGGTGCCCCTTCGCAAGTCACAGGCCATCATGCCGGATCGGGATCGGGGTCCCTCCGGAAAATGATCCGTCCACCCCTGGATAAGGCGCGATCACTCTTTGTGCTGCCGACCACGACCACTACTGGAGAAAGTGTGCTCGTTTCATACTGGATGCCCCAGGAAGCTTCTGTTCTACCACCTTCAGGTTCGATTGCTGAAAGGGGAAGAATTGCTGATGTTAAGACCGGAGCTGGATACCTGTCAGTTGAGCGATATCATCGACGATGCCATTCGGAGCAGCCTCGGTCGTGGAAAAGGCCCAGCGCTGCGTTGTGGCCGCTGGAAGAGGAGCAATAGCTTGTTTGCACTGTCTGTTAGTCTGTGCTATTTTCTATTGATTATATCTCAGTGCTTGTTTTGACAGTTTTTTAACGCATTGCATCGCGAGGGTTGATTTCATGGCGTTGAATGGGCATTCTGCATGTGATGAGCTTTGTTGTTGTTGTCGGCGGCTGCTTATTTGACTCAACAGTATAGCAAGACCGGTAGGTCATACCAAGACTAGATAATGAAGAAAAGGACGGTCTTCGGAGCAAGACTCGTCGCAGCATGATCCATGCCCGTATGAATCCCAGTAGTAATCCCATTCTCCTTGTGCTCGGAAGCGCGTGCCGGCCAGCCCTCTTGGCACGGGGCACGTGAAGGGCCATGATGTCATTGGTCGAGCTCAAGAGCCTCAAGTGGGCCACTGGGCGGAGTCCCAATTGGGAAGGCCGTCTGAGAGTCTCTGTGTGTCGGTCGCTGTGTTGTTGGTCTCGCATTCAACACCATCCGCAGCGCATCGCCTTCCCTCTAATTCCCTCAAGTCATTCCATCGAGGCATTTTCATATATCCCGCAGTTGGACCGTTATAATCTGAGCAGGGATCATGTTTCAGATAAGAGCCATTTTCACGCGGTTGCTATTATAAGCAATCCGTGAGTGTATTCTCTCCGGTTCGCGGTAGCCTGGAGAGGGGAAAGAGAGAGAGACAGACCATGGTGGAGATCAGCACTAGCTGAGACTAACACTTGGGAAAACACCTCCTGTGAGCCGTAAGCCCTATGTCCCGTCTCTAGTCCGGATTCGAACATCATTTCCTATCCTACCTGCTTAAGTCCGAGCGATCATTCCTGTCTGCAAGGTGGGGGCTGAATTCTCACCCGTGCTGTCGCTTCGTGGGAAGAATTCTGGAAATTGTCTGGAATGCCCCAGAGCTGACAGCTCACTCATGATCGAGACAAAAACAACGAGGACGAACATTCCAACTACCTATCACCAAAGGACACACAATCAATTTCCGACGGGCGCGCCCGAACAGCGGACAGAAACAAGGCAGCCTTGTGGACGCTGCTGCAGTGGATCTAGCGGTGAAAATGGAGCCTCTGGATGGGTCATTCCCCGGTGACAGGCACGCTGATTGGCGGGCTCGTGAGGCATAGGGCAGACGCGTGGAGATAACTGGAGATCCTCACCGACTGGCCCATCATTCAGCTGCCGTCCGTGACTCAAGAAGGGGCCATTTGAGCCCTATCGATGGAGCCCCTCGGTGCTGGCATTCTTTCATTCGTCCCCTCGGGCTTCCCGGCAGGGGGCCCCATGCCCCGGATAGGGCCAGTGCTGTTTTGATAGGCTGATGGGTGGGCTTCCAGATGTGCTCGGAATGAGCACGGAAGGAGGGGACGATGGAACATAAATACGCTCATTTCCCCTGTTTTTTTAGGATGCTATATCCTCCTTTTACACGAGTTTATCCCACTCTTCTCTTATATCTCCTCCTCGAGGATAATCATAAAAGAAATGAACAACGACCCCCAGACTTCCGCTCAACCAAACACACTCAAGCGGGCTCTTTCTCAATCCACTACTTCATCCACCTCATCAGCCACCACCAACTCCCACGCTACAAAGACCAGGCATCACAAGGCAAGCCGTCTGTCCAGCGTAAAACAATTTCTCCGGTCGCGCTCCCACTCTCCGACCGCGGCTTCTTTCCCTTCGAATCGCTCCTCTCCATCATCTAGCTTCGACATTCCTCGAAGCATTCCTGCGAACTCTACTCCTCGTCGCTCTGCGAGCCCCGTCTCCACCATGTCTCCTAGCAGAGTCTCCACCGACGATGACAACCACAGCGCAACTTACAAGCGCGTATCCTCCAGCCACACCCGCCGAAGTGGCCACGATTACCGTCGTTACAGCGGCACAGTGAACCACTACGGTCGTCACTCGAATGACTGGCTGTTCGGAGGCTTCAGTCTGCGGGATACCGTTCGAGATGGAGTGGATCGCCTGAGACACCATCATGCCAAGGATTGAAACTCGAATATTCTGCACGCTTATATCTGATGGACTGTTATCCATTCCTGGGTATTATTGCGTTTCATATTCCGACAGATGATTCTCTAAGGTCGCATTAGTGGCCGTCCACCATACAGACTTTCAAAGACCCTGGAATCTCTCCGCCGTTTATATCAAGGATCAAATTGGGGCCAATCTGGCAACATATTGCCAGCCAACCTTTTGGAGGTTTCAGGAAGGAGAAAATCCACGCACCGAGTCGCAAAAGGCTCACTCACGCGTCATGCTTGGATGGATTTGTCTCACGAAAGGCTGTTGAATTGGTCACACCTTATCAGCACGAGAACGCTGCGCGCGTCTGTTCTGTTCTGATCGATCCGATTCGGATCTCTTTTATGACATGTTACGAACTTATACCCGCTATGCCATTTGTTTGGTTTCGATTATATCACTTTTATTGTGTTATTCAATCTCATTAATAACGATTTTCACTTCTCTAACCTTCTGTTTCGTAGACAAAGTAACAGTTCCTTGTAATCGCAGTCCACAGTAGTAGCATAATCAATCCTATTTACACTATATATCCTCATCAATTCTCTACTATCCACAACAACACCATCTACACACCATCCTCACCACCCTTCCTCCTTCGGATCAAAACCGTGTCCGAACCCTCCCCAGAGGTAACATCATACCTCACCAACAACCGCCCAAGCAACAACTTAATCTCAATAGCTGTGAACCATCGCCCCGGGCAAGCATTGCGTCCATACCCGAAATGCAGCGACGTCTCGTTCACAGACACATAGTGATATTTACCAGTTGCAGTAGTAGCTGACAACCCACCCTGATTTCTCAGCCGATGAAACCTCAACCCATCAAACACCTCCGGGTTCTCAATATACTCCGGATCCCAGCCAACATGGAACGCCGGCGCAGCGATATGTTCGCCTGCATTGAGTTGCGTGCCGTCGGGGAGAGTAAACGGTTCCAGGACTTTTCTTTCGAATGTGACTATCATACCAACATTATCAGACCGATAAGGAAAAAGCTGCCTGAAAGGCACTATAGGACGGG